CTCAGACAAGGGACTCTTGTCTAAAACATATAAAGAATTAAAAAAACTCAGACCTCCAAAATTCAAAGATCCAATCCAAAAATGGGCATCTGAGATGAATACGCAATTCTCAGATGAAGAAATGCAAATGGCAAATAAATACATGAAAAAATGCTCATCATCATTGGTCATTAGAGAAATGCAAATTAAAACCACACTGAGATACCATCTCACTCCTGAAAGAATGGCCAGGATCAAGAAAACCAACAACAACAAATGCTGGAGAGGCTGTGGGGAAAAAGGAACTCTCCTGCACTGTTGGTGGGAGTGTAGACTGGTACAGCCTTTGTGGAGGTCTGTCTGGAGGTTTCTCAAAAAGTTGGGATTGGAAATCCCATTTATTCCAGCTATTCCACTTCTAGGCATATTCCCAGAAGAACTGAAAGCATCATACCACAGGGATATATGTGCACCTATGTTTATAGCAGCACAATTTGTAATCGCCAGATCTTGGAAACAACCCAAGTGTCCATCAACTGAGGAATGGATAAAAAAGTTGTGGTATTTCTATACAATGGAGTATTATTCAGCTATAAAGAAGGATCGCATTGAGATATTTATCAATAAATGGGCGCAGCTTGAGACCATACTCATAAGTGAAATAAATCAATCTCGCATGTATGAATACCGAATAGTTTCCCTAATGTAAGTAATGATTCAAATATATAAAAATATGTGATAATCATGATTCCCCATTATGTGGCCTTGAAGCCTTATAAAATTTTCACTTATTAATTAGAAAGAAGGCTTTATTCTGGGCTTTTTGATATGGAAATATTTGAAGCTATAGTATATGAAGTTTTATCCAAATATTTTAAGGAAAAAGACAGACACTATGGTAACTACTATTCTTTAAAAAAAATATTTAGCTATTTCTTATGTTTATTTTAATTAAGGGAAAAATTTAAAAAATTAGGATATATAGTAGTAACTCTTTTTGATCTCCTATTAACTTGTTTTGAAGTCCTGTAATACTCCCAAGATCTTGTTTTGACTGATTAGACTCTGTTCCATTCTGTGCGATAGTAGCAAGTCTGAAGGTATAGGCAACTAATTTGAAGGCAATAAGATTCACAAAGATGCCCATTCTGGTTTGACTATTGTCTCCTTTGGAAGTCCTGTAATGTTCACAATGCCTAAGTTTTATTGGTCTTGTTCTCCACTGTTTTGTCCGGCTTTATAATATCTAATGAGATGGACAATTCCTTTTAAGGAAACAAGAGACAATGTTGATAACCATTGTTGATGACCTTGTACTCTGTTCTACATCATGTGCTATGTCTATCCTTGGTTTTGACTTACAGCTTTGTTTTGCCATATTTGACTTTATTCTCTCCCCCCCAAAAAAGTAATAAGAACTAAGGAGTAATAAAATCCAAAATGTGTAAATTTTGTTGTAAAAAAGAGAGGGAGGGAAAAAAAAAAAAAAGAGCTCTAACGGATATAACAGCAAGTGTGTTTAGGGATGTTAAATAGCTGACTATATTAATGTTTTTGGATCACTGAATACAGCTGTTTGCAGTCTCTCTGTTTGAATGTCTACTTTGTATTCTTTGATAGTGTGATTTGAGCAACTATTTCCAAGATGATAATATGTAATCTATTAACAGGTGATTTCTTACTGTTATGTTTTTTTTTTTTTTGTAGTTCTGTATTATGTGTAACCTTACACTGCTTTGTTTTGTTTTGTGTTTTTCTCTTTTTCCTCTTAAATAAAAAAAAAAAAAAAAAAAAAAAAAAGGAGCAAGACACAACTTCTTCCTGCCATTACATCACATCCTGGCTCCACCCCTATGTGGGTGGAGCACTGACACCATCAAAACAAGCACTAGACAATGAACCATCACAAATGATAAATGCAAACTCATGAGGCCGGGGGACACAGACATAAACCATGACACTCCAGTTTTGTCTTTATTTAGGATTGCCTTGACTATTTGGGGTCTTCTATAGTTCTGCACAAATTCTAGAAGACTTTTCAATCTATGAAGAATGTCATTGATGTTGTGATGCAAATTACATTGAATTTGTAGATCACTCTGGGTAATGTGGACATTTTAACAATGTTAATTTCCCTAACCCATGAATATACGATGGTTTCATTTTGTGTGCATGGGTGTGTATGTAGGTTCTCTTCAATTTTTTTCATTAGTATTTTATGATTTTTTGTAGAGATCATTCATTTCCTTGGTTAAGTTTATTCCTATGTATTTTTGTAGCTTTTATGGATGAGATTTCTTTCTTAGCAATTTCATTACTAATACTTTTTAAAAGCTGCTGATTTTCATGTGTGTATTTTCATTTCCTTCAACCTTAGTTCTAACAGATATTTGATAATCGTTAGGTTACTCTGTATATAGGACCCTGTCATGTGAAAAAGGATAGTGTGAGCTCCTTTTCAATGTGGATGCTCTTTATTTCTTTCTCTTGCCTTATTGTTCTGGCTAACATTTCCATCACTAAACTGTACCTAGCAAGAGTGGTAGGAGATTACATCTCTGTTCATGCTTTTAGAGGAGAGAATTAAATTTTCCTGTTCAGCATGGAGTTGCTGTTTCGTTGTATACAGCCTTTGTGTGGATTTGTATTCCAGACGTATTCCCCTTTGTTAAAAGTTTTTATCATGAAGAGATTCTGAACTTTATCCGATATTATTTTCTCTGCCTATTGAGATGATCAGGTGATTTTTATTCTTCATTCTATTTATATGGTATAGTTATTTTTATTGATTTGCAAGTGTTGAATCATCTTTACTGGCTAGAATTAAACCAACTTGATCACAGTATGTGGTCTTTTGGTTGAATTCAGTTTAAGTATTTTGCTATGAATTTTTACATTTCTGTTTATCAGGGATACTTGTGTATAGTTTTCTTTTTTGTGTGTCTTTGTGTGTCTTTAATAGCAGGATAGTGCAGGCCTTATAAAATGCATTTAGAAGCCTCCCTCTCCCTTTTAATTCTTAATTTGCTTTTTCATCTCTAATTTTACCTGTCTGGATCTCTTTTTTTTTCCCTTTAGATAAATTGTTTGTCAATTTTATGTATTTGAAAAATATTGGGGTTCTTTATTGTTGTGTTGTTTTTGTTCTTCATTTTGTTTTCCTGTTGAATTCTTTTCTCTTACTAATTTTGGATTTTGTTTATTCTTGCTTTGCTGGTTTATTGAGTTGCATCATTAGGTTATTTGAAATCTTACTATTTTATTCCTTATTGCTGATACAGACGGTCCTCTGAACCCTCTTGTTAGCACTTTGTCTTCTTTGCTAGTGAATTTTATACTTTCCTGTTTTCATGATGGTAGTTGTCATCCTTTTGCAGGTCTTGTACAGGTCTGCCTTAGGCAGTTCTTATGTGGTGGTAATGAATTCCCTGTTTTGTTTTGCTTTGCTTTGTTTTGTCTTGGAAAGACTTTATTTCTCTTTCATTTCTGATGGATAGCTTTTCTGGACATAGTATACATGGTTGGCCTTTTGTTTACTTTTTCTTTTGGAGCACTAAATGTTTCATCCTCTTCTCTCCTGGTGTGAAAGAATCCTGTTTGAAAAGTCCGCTGTTAGTGTAGTGATGATTTCCTCGTGTGTGACTTGACACTGTCCTCTTGCTGTTTTATAATTTAATCTCTGTCTTGTACTTCTGACAGTTTGAAGGCCTCAGAGTAGATCATTGCTGATTGACTCTGTTAGGCATCCTTTGAGCTTTCCATACCTGAATGTGAACATCTTTCCCAAGATTTGTGGTTTTCACTTCCATTGAAACTTAGCAGCTTACCCACCTGCATCCCCTTTCTGGAACATCCAAAGTAGAGAAATTTACTCATTTAGTGGAGTCCCAGAAATTTCAAAGATTTTCTTCATTCTAGTGTTATTTGGTTACTTAGTTAATTTGTTTCTTTTTGGTCTTACTGGGTTATTTGGAAAGATTTGTCTTCAAGTCACAAATTCTTCATTCTGCTTGATCTAGTCTGCAGTTGAGACACCTTTTTTTTTTTTAACTTTTTTATCTTCAAGATTTCTTTTTTATTGTTTTTTATGATCTCTGTCTCTTTGCTAAGTTTCCCATTCATATCTTGAATTGTTTTTCTGATTTTATTGAATTGTCTGTTTATATTCTCTTTCATTTCGTTGAGTTTCCTTAGAATTAGTCAGGCAATGTGACACACACCTGTGACCCCAGCACTCAGGAGCCTGAGACAGGAGGATTGCTGCAAGTTTAAGGCCAGCCTGGACTACATAGTGAGACTCTTTATTTAAAAAAAAAAAATCATTATTATGAATTCTCAGGCAATTTATCAGTTTCCTTTTCTTTGAAGTTTGTTGCTGAATACTTTGGTTCTTGTGTCCTGTGTTAGTGTTAATGCAGCTGTCAGATCATCTCACTCTACCTCTTTTATAGGGTAGTTCTCTTGGGCAGCGCCACTCCTGTCTGTGCAGGGCAGGCACAGCTGGTGTGGCAGCAGGAGCCATCATGGTATCCATGATGGTACCCATCAACTCTGGAGGGCTGATGAGGATGGGCTTGTCACAGTCTGCCAGGTGGATGTACTGCAGCGTGCCCACTCGTGGGATGCAGTGCCTGTCAGTATCTGAGACCTGCATAGTTCACCTAAGAAGACCTGTGGGGTCTGCCTGCATGGGGTAACCTGCCAGTCTGCTTCTGAAGACTCCGCCATGCCAAGCGTCTGATTGGCTGCCTGACTGCCTCAGCCAGCCAAGCCACTCAGCTGCTTCCCAGGGTCAAGGTGAATGTTCACCATCATTTCATAAATTCTTAACTCTTGCTTGCTTTAATGTAGCATAAATAAGCGTGAGAAATCTCCCATTCTTTAATTATATTTTATTTCAATTAATGGTTTATTCATTTTTATTTTCATATAGGGTCAGTACTTCAGACTTCCATGTGTAATTTCAAGAAACTCCTAAACACAATAAAAATGTTGATTTCATCAATTTTATCCTATTTCAGATTTGGGGTGAAAAAGAAGCCAATTTACATTAATGTCATAAGGGATCCTATTGAGAGACTAGTTTCTTACTATTATTTTCTGAGATTTGGCGATGATTATCGACCAGGATTAAGGAGACGAAAACAAGGAGACAAAAAGGTAATATTTTTGTTTTAAGATTTTCATAGAGATAATTGTTTCTTAAGTGCAATGGACAATGTGTTTTTAAAAACTTCTTACTTATTATAGGGGTACTGCTTGCTTATTGTGGAAAATTTGAAAAGCATCCCAAAGTATATAGAGGCAAAGGTAAAACTTTATTAGCTGGTGTCTTACAGTATCATCACCTTTGTGAATTTTTTTTTAAAAAAAAACTTTGTTCATCTGTTAAAGGGTCGAATATTTGTTTTATTACAGGGCTGGGGAATGTAGCTCAGTGGTAGAGCAGTTGTCCAGCATCCATATGGCCCTTATACTGTCAGAAACAAATTCTGGGAGACTTAATAATTATTGATTAATATGCTATATTTTAGTTCTCATAGTCTTATTGGTGGCAATTTTGTATTTATTAGTAACAGTTTGTTTAAAGCAGAAATTTTTTCGAGTAAGGAGAAGATAAGGGCTCAAGATACTTGTATACTTAGATTTTGGTGTCTTTCATTTCGTTGCACCCTCAGAATATCACTGTCTAAAAGCAAGCTGACTTTCGCATTTCCCATGAAACATTGTTATTGCGACCTCACTGCTCAGAGCACAGAAGACGCAGGCCAACACCATCTGAGACCTTCCTCTCCTCTTAATGTTTCCTCCGCACCCAGCCCCGGGCTTCGGCCATATGAAATGTTACTGAGCTCCAGACTTACTATTGCTTTACACTTTTTCCGCACATGTTGTTCATCATAGTTAGAGTACCTTTCCTTCACTCTGGAAAAGTCTTTGTTTATGTATGAGATTCAGCGCCCATGTTTCCATTTCTATAATGTCTCCTCCTGCCCCCAGGCAGAGTTAGGTTCCTTTTGAGGCTTCCAGGACATTCTATTTTTAAATTTCTTTTTTAAAGCATTTACTTGGTAGTATTTGGATTGCTGGTTTACATATTATCCTCCCCAGTATTTCTTCTTTGAATCCCTACTGTTGAATTTGTGTCTCAGTCAGCTTTCTCATCACAGAGATAAAATACCTGCCACCTGCAACTCAATAAGTTTATTTTGGCTTGTGGTTTCTACAGGCTTTAGTCCATAGTCTGCTGGCTCTAGGGCAGAAGCGGCACAGTGGAAGGGTCTGGGCAGCTGCAAGCCGCTCTTGGTGTGGCGTTCACAGTGTCTAGAAAGCAGAGAGGAAAGAGGAGCTGGGGAGGAAGATAAGCCCTCAGGCCACGCCCTCAGCAACCCACATCTTCCCAACACATACCACCTGCTAGCCACAAGTCAGCTATGAGCCCCCATAGTCCAGTCAGCCTCCAAAATCACTACCCTTGACTGCGTGAGGCTCTTGGGGGACATGTAGATACAAACCATAACAGTATGGTACCTAATTTACCTGTAAGTGCTTAACAGTATGTGAATTCTACACATTTTAAAGTGTTACACAGTAGTCATGCTACATACTTGATATATCATGGTAAGCAACACCCAACAGTTAACTTTTTTCTAATTTTTTTTTGTCATGAGAAGACAGTAGTTTTTGTTGTTTTCCTTTTTAATTTTTTTCTAGAAATTGGTGTTTCTTTTCTTAGTATCAAAATGTTAATCAGAAAATACTAATCAAAATATAAATAATTGACCAATATAAATAGCTTCTTTTACTTTGCCCGTATCTTACTGTTGCCTAATCTTATGCAAAATTTTGTAAGATCTATTAATGTAAGTTTTTATGGCTTTGTACTTAGAATGTTATTTTTACTTTTGTGACATCTATCTCTTTTTTTTTTTTTTTTTTTGTCTTTTTCCTTTTTATCGGTACCAGGGATCGAACTCACGACTGCCTGCTTGCCAGGCAAGCGCTTATGCCGCTGAGCTAAACCCCCAGCCCCCTATCTCTTTCTTTTGAACAAACAGACCTTAATATTGTTAGAAAAAGTTAGGCTGTCCTGTAGTTCATCATAGTCATAGTTGTTGTCCTATGCAATTTGAATGATTGACCAATAGCAGTAATTAATAGAATTAACCACAACAAATCACATTTATTATTTATTGTATACAGAGTGCTGTATATGATCTTCAGCTGCATGTATGATCTTCAGTAAGGAACAAAAGATAGGCTTTATTTGGGAAATTTCATAATGTCCAGAGAACTTTTGTTTATGTAAACTAAATCTACTTTATTGATAGTTACATATATATAGGTGATATATAAATATATGTAAATATGAATAAAGTAGATTTATATATCACCTATATTTATTTTATTTATATATCACCTATATGTATTTATCTTGCCTATTTAAGGTAGTAGCTTGTGCAATTCTATGAGGTCTTCCTCACTTACAGATTAGCAAACTGAGAACCAGAAAGGTTAAAACACTATGCTTAGTGTCATATGACAAATAAATGATCAGCCCATAATCTTAACCCTTTTTTGAAATACAACATACTACTCATCATTTCTGCGTAGAAAATTTATATGTTCAATACTTAATAGAATATCTATCACCTCCCTTTCATGTTTTGAGAAATTTAGGTAGATATGCTGTTCTAGAGCTTTTACTATTTTCACCCTTTTTTTTCCTATTTTCACTCTTACATGTGGTAACACTTGAGTTTTTAAAATATTATAAAAATACATATTTCTACATCTGTTTACTTAATATAGTATTAGTAACTTCAGTGCTATTGCATTGTCTTAACTTTTATAAGAATGCAACCACAGGGCTGGGGATTTAGCTCAGTGGCATAAGCACCTGCCTTACAAGCAGGCAATCATGAGTTCGATCCCTGGTACCGATAAAAAGGAAAAAGACAAAAAAAAAAAAAAAAAAGAATACAACCACATGTAAATATATGATTTATTAAAGTATGAAATTTCATTGTTTTATGATAGAATGGACCTTTTCAGTTATGGAACCTTAGACATTTTAAATAATTCATCATGTTTCTCATGAAACAAATGATAGTAGCATTCTAGGACCTTATGAATTAAGTAATGTTTTATTGCACATAACTCCTTAATATATTTAACTTGCAAGAATCTTCATCTCACATCTTTAGAGTTATAAGACTGCATGCATATAGCAGTTCTAAAAATAGAGGAGTATTTGAAGATAGTGGAGATTAAGGGTGGCCATGATTGTGTTGGAAATAACTTGCAACGTCTGTCATTCTAAAAAATACCTGTGAGTAGCTCCATTCAGTTCAGCACTTATAGAAACTATTATGGTTTAAACTGCGGTCTTCCAGGAATCTGAACTATTTTCTACTTACACTGTCAGACTGTAATGTGAAAGACACTTGAGATATCTGTACTTTCAAGATATCTTCAGTTGACCTTCAATAAGGAGCAAAAGATTGGCTTTATTTGGGAAATTTCATAACTTCCAGAGAACTTTTATGTGAACTAAATCCACTGTACTGATATTTACCAATATTAGTAAATTTCCCAATTTACTCAGAAGTGTTTTAACATTAATTTTAAAATGATAGACCCATCTTGTGCTAATATAAATAATATTTTAGTGCAAATAACCATTCCATCATTTTACCTTTTTGCAAATCTTTTTGTAGCTGGCTTAATATAGACATCCTGATTTTTGTATCCATTTCTGAATTCTTTTAATTTACGTTATTTTGCTTGAAGTCTCTAAAGAAAATACAGCTTCATACAGATAGGTAACTAGAAAATACACAATTTTAATAACCTTTTCAGAAAAACCTGTGATTATTGTTTACTATTACACTAAAACTTGACAAGTAGTCGTTTCTTAGTAGCAGTGTGAACTTTTTTATACTTTGCTGCATTAAAATGCATTCAGTCAGTCTTTTAACCAAGTTTAATTTCAAACATATTGGTTCACATTTAGTTATATGTACCTTCCATTTTGGTATATAGTATCAAAAATACACATTTACTAATATCACCAGAGATTATGTCAGAAAGGTCTTTAAGGCTTTTGTCAGTGTTATAGTAGTAAATGCAAGTTCCCCAAAATTTTATTTTTTGCTTCAAAGCTTAACTTTTATCCAAATTATTACAGGGTTTCACAACCTCAGCATTGTTGTTTTGGGTCACATAGTTCTCTATAATGGGGTACTGCCTGCCTGGACACTGAAGAATGTTTAAAGGCTCAAGTTGGTAACATCCCCACAACTTGGTTGTAAGAATAGAAATGTCTCCAAACATTGCCAAATAACCATCAGGGAATTAAACCACTCACAGTTAAGAACTACTCAGTTAATTAATACCATCAGTTGTTTTCTTTCAAGTGAAAAGCACAGTTTACTTATTTTGAGAAAATGTCACCAAATGCCCAAATTGAGTAGCCATAATTTGTCGGTAGTTCTTCAGCACAGCCGTTGCTTCTTATGACTTTCAGATATTTACCGCACTCGTAATTCTCATCACTCACACGGTTTCACTTCTATACTGCTGCTCTCATAGGTTGTTAAATATTTTTATTTTTTTACTAGCAGAATGCCAAGGGGGTTATACTAACAAACAGAGTAAATGTATGTGTGTGCTTTACATAAAAGCACAAAAAAGAGTGAGCTTACATGTTAAGAAGTATTTACTGGCTCCCAAGATCACAATTTCTCCCTCAGTTTCTTTTTTGTATTTCTTCTTCTGAATTAAGTAAACTTTAAAGACAGCTATTAAAATTATAGTGAATTTAGCGTATCCTACTTAAAAATAGGTATTGACTTGCAAAAATAATAATGAGGTTACAGTAGTCATACTTAGTACTCTCTGATTCTAATTGTTGGATTACAAATATTTGTCTTATGGTCCTTAATAATCACAATTTCCTGACACATTTTCTTCTGGAACATGAATTTCACTTTGCTGCTTTACCAAGCCATTTCAGAATGTATTAGTTTCCTCAGAAAGTACTTTACATGTAAAAAGTACCACAGGGAATCAATATGCTATAACAACTTTGCAGTTAGTATATTTAAAGGTGTTATAACTTTTTATTATGGACCAGTGGTCTCTATCTCAATGGAAGTTACCAGCATCTATGTAGTACACAACTCGGTGTCAGTCTTGACCTCTTCTCTTGCTAGGTTCTGATTGCACCATAGGAAGTTCTTCTCGCCAAGAGCGAAAATCAGGAAGAAATTGTAATGAAATTGAAGGAAGAGGTGATGAGTTCCAGTTGGACATGACTTTCTGTCGTATATAAGTAGGAGGAGACACCCCCTAGAAAATATATTTATACTTCAAGAAATAGGTCTAACACTAAATTGGGAGTCATTGACATTAGAAATTGAAACCACAGGGCTTAATAAAATTGCATATGAAAAACATGGTATGAAAAATGACCAAATGAAAAACTATATAGCTCTTGGGAGTGCTAACAGTCACAGAAAAAGAAGCATGCTAGGGAAACTGAAGGAAGGAGATAAAGCTGGGAAGTCCTTGAAATGGCTGGGGAAGAGCTTTGATTTCAAAGAGGTTAATGAAGAAAGGACTGGAAATTTTCCTGGTGTTTAAAATCACTTGTATCTAGTTTTTCAAGCAAAGGAGGCTTTTAAGGGAAAAGACTGACTGTATGTTAAGAGCTTTTCGTTTCTCTGGTATGTTAAACTGGGTTTTGTGAGACAGGGAAAAAGTCTTAAGAGCAGTGTGGTAAATGTATGGCCTGTGTGCCAAGTGGGCTGTTTGTTGTGAGAGCTCTAAAAGGGTAAATTTTCAAGGACTTGAAGTTTTATAAGAAAATCATTCAATCACAGAAAATCCTGTTTCTGAAATGTGACTTCAGTGTGAACTAGATGGCTTATGAGCAGGCATTTGTGTGACGGTCCCCTGTGGTGTGAGTGGAGAAGCCCGTATGCTGACGTATGCTGATGTGACCATTGGCCCAGCAGTGGAGCCTAAGAGCTTAGTGGTTCCTAACACTGTAGTATTGAGCTGTCTAATTTGAGCTCTTTCATTAGGAAATAGTTCGTTTATGTATCAAATATTTACATTAAATGGAAAAATTTCCACTATGCCCAAATCTGAAGCTCTCACATATAACCAGTTCGTGGTATTCACAGGTTTTGTTGTTGCTCTTGAATTTTTCACATCTTCCCTACTACTGTCCATCTCAGGCCATCTCATCACTGAATTGGCAGAACAAACAGTTCCATAGAAGATAAGGATCCATACAAGATGCAAAACAAACTAGTTTTCCACTAAAACACTTGTTCTGTGGATTAGTGTAGATGTTTCTAAGCTTCTGAAACAACGGAACTTGAATAGGTTAAGATTACCTGTCTTTCGCGTAGAAGGTTAGTAGGGGTGAGCATTCAAGTTCTTGGGGCAGCTTTGCTCTGTCCTGTCCTCTGGGGGCCTGGGTTCCTACCATATTGTGGCTCTGACATTCTTTATATGATTGTTGTATTTGGGCCACTGCCTTATGACTTTCCAGCCCATGGGGAAAAAGATAGTGGAGGGATAGTCAGTTTCCTTCTAGGCAAGTAACCCAGTAGTTGTCAGTATCACTTCTGCCTCTAGTCTGTCAGCAAGACCCTAGTCACGTGAGTACACTCAATTCATTGCAAGAGCAGCTAAGGTAGACCTATGAAATAAAGGGAGCATGGGTTTTGGAGGTAGTTCTGAGCTGCCAAACGTTAGCAGCATTAAAGATACCGGCCAAAATAGATTTGAAGATTTTTAAAGTATTTTCTTTGCTTAAAGTACCAAAGTACTTCAAGAGCACGGGAATGAGGAATTGGCTAATTAGGGAATTTTAAATTAAATAGCCAATGGCATACTTACTCAGTTTCAATTCTAATAGTATACATTTAAGTTCTCAAAATTACCTACATAGCAATTCTCTTGAATCCTTTAATATTGTAACCTCTTTTTATGTTAGTTTCTTATAGTTAGGCAAAATATCTTAAATGTCTTTGAATATCTCACAATCACGTACAGTTATAAAATGATGGAAATTGTGAGGTCATTGTTAATGACTTTGGTAACTTATCCTTTTTCTGTCTCATACTCTAGTTAGTGGCATAAAGAAGCTGAGTACTTCTGAGCTTCAGAGAAAACATGCTATAAGCTACAGCATTAAATTGGATAGAAATGGAATCAGAAATGTGATCTATCATAACAGTTCATTGAGCAAAAGCTTTCATGGAAATTAGGACATAATAGAGATAGATAAGAAAGACATACGTAAAGTTTTGTTTTTTATTTTTTAATGAACCAAGTTGACATAAATGACAATACCACTTTTTAGAAAATGGCTTAGGGTAGTAAATCTTTGTCAAGCTATGTAGAAAATACCAGAGTTTCTGCCATGGCCGTTCACATGGGGCTTATGGAGTCTTAAATATAAGCCAAAGTGTTTGCACTTTTTTTTTAAATCACACATGAATAAAGTTTGAGAGAATTCTAAAAAATTCTTAAAATGCTTCATAAAAAAAATGTTACTTTTCATCTCCTCTAGAGCTGTGTCTTTAGTGTCATGTAAGTCCCCAAAGTGCAGTCTTCCCAGTGGTAACCTACAGGTCGTATAGCTCTGCACAGTGTACCATGAAGGACAGGTTTCCTCATGATTGGAGAAATAGAGCATGGCATACATTTTAAAAGTACATGAAGCAAGTAATGTAAAGTTACGTATCTTTTTATTCCCAGACCCTAAGAGCAGCTGTTATAAGAAATACATTCTTAATTCATACAGCTTGAAAGAAAATAAGGGTGACTTTAGGCTATAGTAGTCACTGGAAAGATAGTTTTAAGGTAAAATAGGTTAGTAGAGGAAACTACAACACTGGAAGACGTAACTGTAGTCAGCAAAGGTGTGGAGTTTGGGGGTTCATGTGATCTGAGTGTGGAAGTACAAGACCAGTGGTAAAGGTAGACGTGTACACAGACACAGCAAGGCTTGCACATTGGGTCAGATTATGAATCATTCCTGAAGGGCAGGGGAAATTTCTTGCTCATTTTTCTAAGATATTGGAAGCTGCTGTTGTTTTCTGAGTAAAAGGTGTTAGAAGTGACTGCTGAGGGTGGTCTAGTAGCTGCGTGGAGCGTATCAAAAGGAAATACAGAAGAGAAACCCAGTTAAGAAGCTGATGCAGCCAGGCGTGATGCGATATGCCTGTAATCCTAGCACACAGGAGGCTGAGGCAGGAGGCTCAAAAAAGTAAAATAAACTGATACAAAAATAAAGACTAATGATAATGTGAGATCTTGATGGAAGCATGGTGTGAAAAGTTGTGAAGATGGGTTAGAAAGACACTGCCTCAGTTACAGACTAAAGGAGATGAAAGGAAATGTTCTGAAATCTTGAGTTATTGAGCTACAAGAAGCAGGTGTAATCCTTTTGCCAGAAATATTGAATGTGAAGTAACACTGAGAATTCAAATTTAAATGCACAGTAAGTATCAGAAGTAATCTGTGAATACTCATTTGGAAGTCTTTTACCTAAAAATTTTAAGCCAAGAAAATGTTAACAGGCCGAGGCAGGGAGTGAGTAGAGCGTGCTGAGAGAAAGAAGCGATGAATATTTTACAGAACGTACCCAGAAGTACCTGCAAAGAAGATGGTAGTACATTCCAGAAGGAACAGAGGACCAAGCCAGTTTTGGTGGCACACACCTTGAATCCTAGCACTCCAGGAGACTGAGGAGGATCACGGGTTCAAGCCAGCCTGGGAAATTTAGAGACACCCTGTCTCAAAATTTTAAAAAAATTTTTAAAGGGCAGGGATATACTCAGTGTGAAGTGCCTGGATTGAATTCCTAGTACCACCACTGTCCCTAGGGGGAAAAAAAAAAAGGGAAGACCAACAAAAGAAGCCAAATATAGAAAAGAATGTATAGTAGCGAGAGAGACCAAGAGCTTTTTCAGAAAAGAAAAGATGGGGCAAAATGCTATGAAGGTCAAGGAAGCCAGGACCAACATTGTATTTGACCATTGTAGAGAGACAGACAGAGACACAAAGATATCTCATTTAGTCAGACGTAATGGCACAGCCTGTAACCTGTAATCCCAGCACTCGGGAGGCTGAGGCAGGAGGATCATTTTGAGTTCGAGACCAGCCTGGGCTACAAAGTGAACTCAAGGGCAGCCCGAACTACATAGTAGGACCTTGTCTGAAAAAGACCAAAACAAAACAAACACCTCATTTATTGTATTTCCCAGGCATTGTGTTATTACAGATTTATTTCTCTAGGTAAAATTATGCCCTCATGTTTTAGATGACGAAACTAACATAGAACTGAAGTTGTCCAGTTTCAGGATTGAAACCCAAGTCATGTATCTTTTTATCCTAGTAGAGATCACCTGTTTAAAAAAAAAAAAAAAATTAAGTGATGGATTGCAGTTTGTGCTATTGCCAATTGAATGTTGCCAGAAAAAAAGACAGTCAGCCTCATCTGCAAGGTCTGACGAATTTGGAGGTCTGTTTTTACAGATATTTGGTTAAACAGGCCCTCTGCATAACTTGAATTGTATAGATTAGAAAAATGCAACTTGGAGGCTTTAAAGACATTCCTAAGCTACAATCAAACCTGGTTGTAGGATCCCAGAGCTCTGGCTCAACACAAGGGTTCTTTCTACTCTTGCATACTTCCCTTTCCAGAAATAGCAGATCGCACTTGTGGATTTTTCACTGGACAACCACTTCCCAGGGCTTTTCTCTAGAAAATTTCTATGTTATATCATCTCAAAGGGCTAATTTCCTTTGGTTAGAAAATACAAACACACAAATGTAACACAAACCTGTACTTATTTTTGAGGACAAATTGTTTTTTGCGGGGGGAGTGGGATCCTTTCATATAGTAAAGAATTGTTGTAAGCATTTGCATGCGTAATAAATTATGAAAAAAATCCCTATTTTACTTTCCTCAGTGTCTGGAGTACGCTTGTGTAACCTGCCCATTCCTTTCATTTTATTATCTTGCCTGCTTCTCCCCCTTTTATTTAGTAACTCTCCACATCAAGGAATTAAGAATGAAAGGACAGTTGGGTTGTGACTTCACTGTGCTGCTTTGTCTTTGTTGCAGACTTTTGATGAATGTGTGGCCGAGGGCGGCTCAGACTGTGCCCCCGAGAAGCTCTGGCTGCAAATCCCGTTCTTCTGTGGCCACAGCTCGGAATGCTGGTAGGCAGATAATTTTAGTTTAAACTATGGTTTTCCTTATTTTTGTACTTTGCATCTTGTAAGTATGAATATGTTAATCCAAAGCTACCTAGAGGGACACCAGTGAAAGACTAGACTAAAAACAGCATGTAATTAATACCTAATTTTCTGTTTACTTTTACATGCATTTAAATTAGTCATATATGTTATCCTCACGGAATTTTTTAGTTGCTGTTCTTTAAAAAATTTTTGGTTTTGGTGTTGTGTTCTTACTTCAGACGAAGTCTTAATTAGAGACCAAAAGTCATTTGATAAACTTTATTTTGTCCTAAGAGTACTGTCTTAGCCATTCAAGTTAGTTTAAGAAGAGGCTTAGTTAGGGCCGGGATTTAGCTCAGTGACATAAGCACGTGTCTGGCAAGTGTGAGGTTGTGAGTCTGATCCCCAGTTTTTTTTTTTTTTTTTTTTTTTTAAAAAAGAGGCTTGGTGAGTAAATTGTTTCCCTGGCTTTACCGTTAAGCTGAGTTTTCAAAGAGGAGTCAAAGTTGTAGTTGTAGTTTAATCTGCTAATAAGCATGAGGTGGAAAAAAAAGATATTTTATCTTTATTTCCTAAGAATGTATGGAGTATTTAATAATTGTGCATTTTTATTCTGTTCAGTCATTTTAATAGGAAAAGTAGAAAAAATAGAAACACATTCAAAGTATATTCCTTAGAACCATAATGAGAACTGCCAGGAATTTCTTCATTATTTGAGATATATTATTAGACAACTGTGAAGTATAAAGTCCTAAATAGTAGATTATTTCAGAGCGTTGTGATAGCACAGGAAGAATTAGAAGCATAAGAAAACTGTCTTCTCAGGTTTTAACCATTTTCTTAGAATAGGGGTTAGCAAATGGCACCATGCGGACCACACTGGGTGCCTCCCTTTTTTCTGCTTGATAAATAAAGCTTTTTTAGCACACAGCTGTATCTGTCTGTGTACTTTTTGTCTGTAGCCACCATCAGGCTGCAGCAGAGTTGTGTCACTATGATCTGAATCATACAGTAACCTGAAAAGCCTAAAATACTTTTTCCTGGCCCTTCATAGAAAAAGTTTGCCAAGCTCTGCCTTCAAGCAGAGTACTGCTCTACGACGCATTTTCAGGACTTTTTAATTTCTTTCATTTGTTTGATAGAGAATGGAGGTGGACTGTGGAAATCTATTCATTTACTTCCTCCCGCTACATTTTTTTTTTAATAGCTAAGACAACAAAGATAGAACACAAAGCTACGTAAAGGCAGACCTGAAATTTAAAGGCTGTTAGTGCTACAGGGAACCCCAAAGTATGTGTTTAGGGCAAACTATTTACTGACAGTATGGATAAAAATAAGAAGTCATTAACAGAGCCATTATTTATTTTTTTTGTTCTCAGAAACTTTAGGAAACACTAAACTCATCAAAAACACTAAATTCACAAGGTACACACTGAACACAAATGCTAAGATCTTACTAAAGAGCTTGTAGACCTGGTGTGGTGGAGCGCTTGGGACATTCATGCAGGATTCAGAGTTCAAGGCTGGCCTGGGCTTCACAGTGATACTCTGTCTTGGAGGAAAAGTTCTTAAAATGAAAAAACAAATATAAGAAGACTAAATTAATTCACGTTAATTCATACCAGTTATCTATGTGCATTTTGTAAAATGTCCTTAAAGTAAACTTTGATTATCTTGAGTCGTCTAGTAAAGTCTGAATTAGCACTAGATGTGAAAGCAAAACAAATTAAAAACAGTTGTGCCTCCCAAAGACTGCTCTTAGAAGGGCATTAGAGCTGTGGATGTACTTGTGTTTATGTATTTTCCCCATAGTATTCAGTATCAGAGAATAGAAATATTTTGCAGATTTCACACCCAAATTTTTTATTCTTTTGCTTTGGTTTCAGGAATGTGGGAAGCAGGTGGGCTATGGATCAAGCCAAGTATAATCTAATTAATGAGTACTTTCTGGTGGGAGTTACTGAAGAGCTTGAAGATTTTATCATGTTACTGGAGGCAGCTTTGCCGCGGTTTTTCAGGGGTGCTACAGAGCTCTATCGTACAGGTATAAGGAATTTCTTTTCTTTTTTTTTTTTTTTATCGGTACCGGGGATCGAACCCAGGACCGCCTGCTTGCAAGGCAGGTGCTTATGCCGCTGAGCTAAATGCCCAGCCCCAAGGAATTTCTTTTTAAAGCTGACCCTAGCTTTTTGTTTACAACTTGAAAAATGTATGCAATTTGAAGTTTCTTCAATAAAATACAACAAATAGCTCTAGAAAGGGAGGTACATTTTATGTTTGATTTAGCATTTTCAATAAAAGTGCCTGGCACAGAGATAATGTTTGTGAGGTATTTTTTTTACACAAATAAATGTGCAGTAGGTGAGAATTAGGAATAGTGGAACCATACAGGCTACAGAATCAGCCTTGGAAATGTGCCATATTCGATACTGCTAGATTTCAAACTATATATTAAACCCTTACACCTGCCTCCCACCGTTTTAAAGGAGGGTTGGGACGAGGGTCTGAAGCACACTATTACAAGCTTTGTGTGCAGTGCAGCTGTACTGTGTGTGGCAGGGTGTTTCAGCAGCCTTGACCTGTGACATAGCTGAAAGAGACTGTCCTGGTCCAATTTCATTCTGACTTTTTTCTTTCTTTTTTTTTTTTTCTTTTTTGGCTGTTGTTTGATCAGCTACAATCTTAGGAATTGTTAGAATATTCATATGCCCTACCTTCTATATAATTATAGCAAACAGGTTATGGTAAATTAGAATAAGGTTGGCAATAAATAGTGTATTTTTTAAATAAACTAGTCTTAGACCAAGCATAGGAGAATGTAGTGCTTGAGGTGACAGTGGTGATCTTTATATTTTCAGTTTGACATTGCATTGTCTTTTAACATGTTAAGGATTTATATTCTGAAGGAATAGTTCACAGTTCTGCTATTTGTTCCATATTTGACTGAATATTAATTATTTTACCTATCCTTCTATGTGAAACTATCTTTTTAAATAAAGAAGCATTGATCCTTCGTGAGTTCTCTAAGAAATTTTTACCTTTCCTTTTTTTCCTTTGTAAGTAGGAAAGAAATCTCATCTTCGGAAAACAACAGAGAAGAAACTCCCCACTAAACAAACCATTGCAAAACTGCAGCAGTCTGACATTTGGAAAATGGAGAATGAGTTCTATGAATTTGCACTAGAGCAGTTCCAATTCATCAGAGCCCATGCTGTTCGAGAAAAAGATGGAGACCTCTACATCCTTACACAAAACTTTTTCTATGAAAAGATTTACCCTAAATCGAACTGAGTACAAGGTGTGACAGTTAGATTCTGGAACTAGAACTGTGTCCCCTGTCTTCACCTTCGTTCTCAGCCTCACATCGTGGATTGCTGATACGTGTTTAAGACAGTTAATATTGGGCTAATTAGAAAACAGTAACATCAAGGAAGAAAATACTGGCTGGTACGTCAGTGTGCTAAGTTTAAGTTTCAGGTGTTTTTCTTTTTGCTGTTTAAATTTTGGTGAGCGTTACAACCTCCTGTGTGGAAGGGATAAAAAATACCTTACATCCCTTAAAATAAACACGTGGCAGATCTAATCAAAAGACTAAATACAATTTCAGAGAAAGATTCTGATATTTTTATTTTTGACAGAGCATTTTTTTTTCTTTTTCAACTAACCATGACTGAAGATAAATCTGTTTGCCATTTCCACCTTCTCCAGAGGTTTGGGTTTATACACCTCTTCTGAATAGTGTTAATAACTGTTTGGCAGTTTGTGCTTTGTTTCTGTGAATCATGTCTGATGAAATTTATTAGAATGTTTGATCATGTTTGCTAAGAAATATTTTTGCTATAGTTGAATTTGCCCGTATTAATGTAGGTGGGTTTTTTTTTTTTTTTTTGGATGATGATCATTAGTGTTAAATTCCAGTTTAAACCATGAATACTGTAAAAAAGTAAAGAATCAAATCAGTATGTCTTATTCCTATTTCCCCAGTATCTAATATTGGGAAGATGGCTCTAAGAATGTTGGCATTAGCTGAAGTTTCAGTTAAGATTTCCACACATTAATAGCAAAAAAGTAAGTTTAGTATTTGTTTCTCCATGGGTTATTTGTAAAGCTGTAAACTGAGATATCAGTGACTCTATATTATGACTCCATTAGTGAGCTGTGTATGGGTAGGATTTTCCTACTTCTTCTGTACTTTTACCTGTAGACTATTTTTACTAAGGTGCTTTATAATGTGTTTTAAAGCGTTGCATTTACAAAAAAAAAAAGGAAAAATGCTGTAAATACTGCATATTTTATGTATTTGGACCAAAAGGTTACAAGTAATTAGACAAAAGTGGTTTTGCACCAATTTTATTATGTCAAGTAAAATCATCTGACCTGTTCTCTTGTATTTCTCATTTAACTTTACTATTAAGAAATCACTAAAATGAAGTTCAATAATCCTTCAATTTTAATAGAATACATTGTTCATAATTGGAGGCAGTAGCTGTCATGGAAAGAGTACTAGACAAGTCTAAACATTTTAACTTCTGCTCCTGGCCCTGCAGTTTCCAGCTGTGTGTGATCTTGGGCAAGACACTTGACCTCTCTTCGCCTCAATTTCCTCGTCTTGAAATGAGGATAATAATACCTGCTGTACCTACCTCACAGGGCTGTTGTGAGGACTAAATGAGACAGCATGTGAAAGCACTTTGAAAACTGTAAAGTGGAATATAAATGTAAGGTATTACTATAGAAGCATCTTTGACATATAGTTTCATATCATTCATTTTTTAACAAAGAAAAGGAAAAGTCCACTTTTAAGCTTTGTGAAAAAAGTTTATCTTGATATAAATTTGTGTTTGATAAATATCTTGAGTGTTCTATCTTCCATGTTTCAACAGCTAATGAAATATGAAACACCTGCAAACTCTTAAAAGATTCATGCGCAGCTGCTTGAGTTCAGGAGGTTTTCTGTTGGAAATAAACTTTCGTTAGCTGAGTACGGGCAGGGAAACCTTGCTCTTCAAATGTTAAAGATTTTTGGCTGGTTGATTTACTTTACCCTTCAGAAATGATAGCTGTTTTCTACCTGTAGTTTTTAAAGTGTGCTTTTCAGAATTTAATTTTCTTGTGTGTTCTTTACTCTTTTTCCTCCTCTAAAGAATTTTAGAAATTTTTCTAAAATGATAATCTTTAATATGCTTAGTATAAGTAAATATTTATGAATATAAGTTTCATCAAACTAAGCATTTTAGTGTACGTGCTGCCGAAATGAGCACAAACTAAGCATTTTAGGCAGATTGCCTTAAAGGTTCTTGAGTAGGAGGGGAAAAAGGGGGACACTGTATCTCAGAAACTGTTTGTAAACTAAAAAGCTAAAGGGATTACAGAAACAACATTTTCTTCCCAATAATAATATTAAGAGACATAACCAGGCATACTTTTCTTATTTGGTTTTCTTTTAGATACCTAGGGTACACTATATCAAGGGTCAGTAATGTTTTGCTGTACAGGACCAGAGAACAAATATTTTAGATCTCTGTTACAACCATGCTGCTGTCATTGTTAAAAAAGAAAACAAAACCCAGCCGCAGACACTATAGAAACCAATGAGCATGATTATGTTCCAGTGAAGTCTTATCTACAAAAACAGGTGACATGCCAGACATGGCCCACGAGCTAGCAGGCTCTGCAACTACTTTCTGATTTACGGAAAAATCATTTTTGTATCCCTATTCCAGTGGCCTGAAAAAGTTTATATACTTACAAAAGCTCCTAACTTAAATCCAAAGAATAGCTTTCTGATTCATGCAGTTTCTCCTACAGATTCATAATCTTTTGTGTATGTTGCTTGCACATGGACATGTTTTCTTTCCCACTTTAACCATTTGGAATTGGGATGTTTATTTTATCTTCAGGGTGAGTTAAGAGTGTCCTTTCTGAAGACTGAAAATGAGGTAGACCTATTTTGTCTGGTACAGTATAGTCTTAGGAGTCTGAGTCCTTTTAAGAACATAATTTTATCATTAAATAAATAGAATCACTGAGACAATATGTATTTTTTTAAAAAGTGGCAAATGTGGTTTTCTTTTTTCAGTCTTTGCATTTTTTCAGTGTTTGGCCCATAGGGAGATTTAGATAATGTTAAGTGGGTACACACACACACACACACACACACACACACACACACACACACACACATTATCTATGTTTTATTTCCTAACAGGAGAAGAAAATAGCTTTTTGTTTAACTTGTATCCACTCCTGTTTTCTGATTACTGTGAAATGGCAACTGTTGATAAATTATTGTGACTGTTTTAAAATGTAATGGGGACATATTTTTATTTTATCCAGCTTTAACCTGTAAATTATCACTTAAATATATCTGATAGCAACACATGAACTATTGCATGGAAATTACTTTTCTATCAGCCATTTGCATTTGTGCAATTTCTAATATATCGAGTGCACCTGACTTCTTGATCATTGGATTTAAACTATTGAAAATCAGAGAACTTAAATTTATTGAGTTTTAAATTTCCAATTTTATTTTCTAAATATTCAATTAATGCTTATAATTTGAAATCTATTCTTTTTTTGTCGTTTTCCCATTGGAAATTCCTAACGTTGCTAGTGTCCTCATTGGTTTACTAAACAGTATATTTGATACTGCAGATGATTTGCTTATTGTTTTTGCATAGTTCAAAAGAAACATTTGTACGCGACGATTCTTTTTTAATTAAATAAAAATTCTAAAAGCATTAGGAAAATCTAAAAGCCGATTCCCAAACACATATCTAGTATTTTAGTACTTTAAATTCTCCACATAGAGGACATCTGTATAAATCATCTAGCTGGATTTTCCCATTCATTGATCATTTTTAAACACACCTGTGGTCTTAGCATCCTTTATTGTGAAGTACTTAATATTCTAACCTTTTATGAAGTGGGTGTTTAAAAGGCCTAAGTATTTCTGTCTTACAATGTGAAATATACTTCTTAAATTAGCACAGTCTACTTTCTGATAAAGGGGCAGTTATTGTTAAGTTTTGCATATGTGTACCTGATGCAGAGTTGCTGTATGATGCCAACTTAAACTGCTCTTCAAGCAGCTTTTTGAGGGGAAAAGCAGTCCTGCCTGAACGTACTGCCAATGCAGCTTCTCTGCTGTGGAGCTTATTTTTTGATTTCCTGGAGTGGGAATTTTAGAAATTGGAATGTACGATCATTTAGTCAGATCATAAGTTCGTGCAGCTTTGTGACCTTTGCAGTACTTTTTATAAAATGGCCCCTGATGATAATGATCTCTTGAAAGCTCATCACTGGCAGGTCTCTGCCTGAGGTACACTGGTGCAATCTGATTTTTTTAGACAGCTTTTGTAGATTTTGGTTCAGAGTCAGGTATGTGAGCATCTCTAAATCAGTATTGAATGTAACTTAAACCTGGATTTTCTGTTTTACAGACTTTAATAGACCACTAAACAGTGCCTTTTCACCCCGCAATCCTGTTGGAAGATGCTCATGACTGTCTTTTTCTCCCTCTCCTCCCTACCTTCCTTGATGTATGCAAGACTGTTTCCAGTTTGAAACATTTTGTCTCACCTGTCTCTTTGGGAGAGAAAATCACTCCTGTTCCTTAACATTCTGCCAGCTTTCTTCTTGAAGTGTTTCAGTGGACTACCTGATACAAAAGCTGTAAAATAAACATACAGTGGGAAGGGAAAAAGTTGCTTGGTGCCCTGTCTTAATATTTTCTTCTGTAGTTTTGATGCTAATAGACCTTTTCCAAGTTGACTTACTCTTCAGCATCACCTTAGCTCAGATTTTGTTGACACCAGGAAAGCAAGTGGCATCATTGGCCTGTAACGATTTTGTGGCTTATTTATGACACTGTCTGAACCGACATGCTTCTGCTGCTCTTCCTCATATTTAGTCATTATTATTGAAATTTCAGATACAAAATGTCTAAGTTACACTTGAGGTATACACTTAACCAGAAGAAAAAGGAGAGCATAAGGAGAGGACTATTAGAATAAAATGGAAATTTCAAAGTAAAGAAAGTTTATCTGATTAACCTTCATTGTAGAGTGTAGACATTTCCATAATGTTTGCTCTAGAAAATGTTACCTCCAGTGATTGTTATTTTGCCCTTTAAAGGAGAAGAATCTCAGTTCTCAGCCACTGGCTCCGGTTCTGCATAATGGTTGGTTTGGTTTGGTTTTTGTTTGTTTTAGTTCTATATTAGATTGAATAAAATACTGTCAGGGATGAAATTTCCTTTTTTTTTTTTTTAGGGATGAAATTTCTAAACAAAATTTGATCTGTACCCACAAAGGCAGAGCAGAGGGTGTGGAGTTGAGAGTCAAATGGGCCTGCATGTAGCAGTGTGACTTCGGTAGATGGAAATGACGGGACTGCTGTACAGGCTGGCTATGATAGATGTGAAGTCCTGGCTCTGCTGATATCCCACAGCTGTTACAAAATAGTCTGGAATGTTGCTAGCAAGCTGACCTCTCTTCTCACACCACGGATCTTAATTTTGTCACTTCATAGCAAGATATTTTGATACATACTAATGAAGGCAGTCGAATTTTTTTTTAACTAGTAAGACCTATTTATGCCTCCTCACTTACAAACTAGAGCATAGATATTCCTGGTTCTGAAGCTGTTTTCATCGTGTGCAAATCTCCCAGGAGGAAAGGGAATAAAGACAGGACTTGCTTATTCCAAAAGTGGCTTTTTCATATTTTATTGCATTTGAACAGTATAAACTGCCAAGTGGTACCCATGTAAAACTCAGAATACTAGGAGTAAAGTGATTTGCACTCTTTTCAAGAGAAAAAGAACTCTAATTCCCTGTCACTTGCTTTAGATCTGTACATTAATTGATGTTGGAATTCCAAGTCTGGGAACTATCTGAAAAACAAATAAGGATGCAAAAATTGTTGCTTAAACCTGCATGTTTTCATGGTACTAGTAATATTACTGGCTGTCTTTTAAAGCAGGAGTTTTATTTGGTGAATTTTCTTCCAGTAGGAACATGTGCAAAAATGCAAACCTTGAGTCACTGTCAACCTGTTTTCTTTCTCAGACAGGATCTCTCTAATTGCTTACTGAACCTTGTTGCTGTTACACAGTTTCACCTTTGTGGCCACAGAGCACAGCAAAGACACCTTGCAACAAAACAAAAATCAGCAAACGGCATAAATACCTAAAGATTCCCTCTTTCCTATTTCACCATAGCCAGTGGAGCAAACTAGGAAAGATTTTACTCAAATCACTGTTCTTTATAGTTTGCTGTTTCCTCTAGTAGATGACCTCTAGTAGCTGAACCAATCAGACAGTTGTAAAATATTTCAAGGACCTATTTAGTTGTACAGTGAACTCCTAGGTAATATATTTAGCACTGTTAAGGGAAACAACAGGAAAATGTAGAAAGGACTTACTCTTTTGATTTTCAGTTATTTTGTTCTGTAAGAAGGAAAATAAAGCTCCTTCAGTAGATGGCTTTTTTGCTTTGAAAATAGTGGGAGGTCTTACTATGAAAAGGTGATCCCTGAAAACTACACATTTCTTCTCCCACTCTTTAGCTCTGTGTTTATTCAAAGCCAGATTGACCAACTTATTGAAGTAGCCTTTTCTAGCACACTTCTTTTTTGTTTTGTGGTGCTAAAGATCCAACCCAGGGCCTCATGCATGCTAGGCAAGTGCTCTACCGCAAGCTACATTCCAGCTCTTAACCTTGCTTTTTACCATGTATTTTAGTTATCTTCTTGCTGCTGGGACAAAACACCCAATGCTCAGAAGTCAAACAAGGGAGAGGGTTTGGTTTAGTTTGGGTTTCGTGTTGTTTTTTTTTGAGACACAGTCTGGCTGTGTAGTTTAGGCTGGCCTTGAGCTCACTGTGTATTCTGGGCTGCCTTGAACTCAGAGATCTTCCTGCCCCAGCCTCCTCAGTGCTGGGAAAAAGGTTTACTTTAGCTCACAGTTTATAGTTGGCAGTTCCAAGCAGGGCAGGTGACAGAGGACAAACCGTTCATGGCCAGGAAGATGGGAAGAAGCAGCAATTAGGGGAGGTCCAGGAATACATAATACCTTACAGGCCATGCCCCCAGTGACCCACCTCTTCCCACCAGCCTTTACCTCCCAACATCATGCCTTGCTATAAGGCCATCAGTGGAGTAATACAGTATCACATGCCCATGATCTAGTTACCCCCAAAGCCACACCTGTGAACACATAAGGCTTTGAGGAGATCTGTAGTTGTAAACCGTAACACTTTAAAATACTTTCTATTTCTTCTTTAATATTCCTGTAGCAAGTAGTACTTGTCTCTTTCTCTATAGCTCTTTACCCGCATATATTCAGGTTATTCTAATAGCTGGGCAACTGGGAGTTACTTTCAAAAAATACAATTCGAAAGTATAGAAAAATCTACAATTGGCCATAAAAGACCGTTTGTACTAGTCAGGATACAACCTCTGAAGCAGCAGCATTTAATGTCCTATCTTAAACAGATTAACTCCCCTAAGGCTATTTTCCTAGTCTGCAAAATAGAACCAGTAGTCATATCAACAGTTAATTTGATATCAACAGTTCATATCTTAATTTCCTTGTTTCTGGGGCACAATTCCCAACACAACTTTAATGAGGAAAGACTTATTTTTGGCTCCTGCTTTATAAGTTTCAGGGCTTGTGTGGTTCATATGCTCCAGACAGAAGCAGTGTGATGGGATGGTGTGGAGAAAAACTAATGGCACCTACTGGCAGCCAGGAAGCAGAATAAGCAGGGAGGAGCTGCGGAGAGACCTTTGCAGGCTACCTCAGGGTTGCTTCTCCTCTAACCACACAAGCCAGCTGCACTGCCCCCATAAACCACTCACTTTCTAAACATGTGAGGCTTGGTGACTTAGATCTAAACCATAACAGCATGAGAATGAAGTGCGCTAATAATCTCCATATGTGCAAACTTAGCTTCTATCACATAGCATTAAGGGAGTGTTAACATCGTCTTCCATGATAATTGTGAAAAAGGAATAGCAATCATTCAGACAGCAGGAATCTGAAAGACAAAGGAAGAATGGCCTCTGTTTGTTGTAATAAGTAAAAGAAAGAATCATAGAAATCCCTTTCAGGGGTTGGAAGCTCAGTGGTAGAGCGAGGCCTTCAGTGTACAAGTCGCAGTTTTCCATCCCCAGCACTGCAAGTCTCATTTTTTGCCTGGACCTTTAGTGCACTTCATCTCTGACTTTTAACGTGGAAATAACAGATATATCAACCTGTCCCTGATGACGAAGCTCTAGGCTTCACTCTAAAAACTCACCCTATGTTTCCACCTATCTATGAAGTTACACACTTAGTTCTTAGAAATTCAGTGTAAATTGGCGGTGTAAATTGGAATCCACATAGAACCAGTAGTACACATGTACAGTCATGCAAATATACGTATCCTAACTCCATAGAATTGTGCAGCCTAAGGACTCTGTCCTTCCTAGAGCTTAATGTGTTTTGCCATTTTTCCAAAGAAGAGGTACTCATCTTGAGTCCCTGACTGAGTATTTTGAATTTTAACAGGTGGGTGATGGGAGTTGTAAGCAAAGGTTGAAGTGGTCGTGTTTGAATTTTTCAAATATAGTTGCAGCAGTGTAATAATGGGCCTTTGACCTGAGAGCAAGGAATACAAAAACCTCTGAGGAGGTGATGGCAGCTATGGGGAGAAGCAGATGAATTTGAAGGCCAGAATCCCTAACTTAGTCACAGGTGAGATATGACCAATATGTGGCCAATGCAGGCACTGATTTGAGTTGTAACAGTGTACAAATTTTGAATATCCCTTGCCTTTGTCTCAATTGTTACTACAAAGGTTATTTTCTAAGTCACACTTTGTGAAGCAGACTAATATTTGCCCAAAGAACCTTTATCACAAAGACAAGGCTTTCTTTGCCTCCTTATCCAATGTTTAATTCTCTTGCCAACTCAGATTTTGTCAGATTTCTGTCCCCTGCCCCAAAACAGTACTACTTCCCTGTGGTTTGATGATGAAAACTAATAAAATAGCCCACTCAGCTTCAGCCTCCGTCTTGTCGCTGTGACGTCTCTAAAGCTGCAGCTTTAAAACTGAAGTCATGCCTGTCAGTGCTTCACATTATTAGCGCTAAGTGTGATTACATAGTTAGGTCACTGTACAGTGTGGGGTTTTGATGAAGGGTTTGGGCAAAGGAGATTGCAGGAGCAGTCTGTTTGTCTAGTGATACCAGCGAAGGAATAGGCTAAGCTGTGAATGTGGTAATTGACCCCTATCCAGTTTTGTTGCTAAATACCCACCCCCAACCCAGGCAACATAAGTATTTTGAAGTATAAAAATGTTAAGAAGATTCTCCCCTTGAGCACCAGAGCTAGGAGAGACCTGGGATTCTTAAATCAGTTTACTTCTTCATTTTCTTTCCTCTTTGTTCGTTTCTAATTTATATTGCTTAATCTCTTAGAATGTTAGCATCACAGAAACTGTCAGCTAAACTCCTAATCTGTGACTTTCTACAGTATGTACTGTCTTAAGTTACCAAGTTAATGAATGTTAAAATATGGCTACAAGTGGACCTATAATCCTCAAGTGACTGGGCTTGTGAACTTTGGTTTGCTTTCACAAATGTGAACCAGTTTGACCTAAATCTGGGTATTTCATTTAACATCCCAAGATTTGATTAAAGTGTTTGTGTCAATAACGTTTCA